CTAAAAGTCTCCACACTCGTCCTAAAACTCACCAGTAGTTTGGACGCCAGGCGTAAACAAAGCACAAGTTTTAAAATGAAAACATATTAGTGTGGATGTGGCGTTGAAGAGCTGCTATCAGACGGCATCATCACTGTCAGCACAGAAGCCCAAAAAAGAAACAAGAGGTTATATTTAAAAGACAAGTTTGACATCAGTGTGTATTTTTCTTATTGCCAACAAATCCTGTGATAAAACAACTGGTCCACCTTCTCAGTTCTTTGCAGCTTCCGAACAAAGATTGTGGCTCTCAAACCAAAGCCCAGTGGTTCCACTGAAGATAAAAAAATCTTGAATAGTTTCATTTCACGTTGTAAAATGTTTTTACAACACATTGTTGAAAAAAGAAGGAAACACTGCATTTCTTGGGGGACTGTTTCCAGCCATTATTTGGTGATGAAGGAACAAGTCACTCAGTGCAACCGTGTGGTTCACTGATGTGTTTTTAATGGTTTTTGGACAATAATGAAGTTCTGTGGCTCAGAGGAAAAACAGAACAAGATGTATGAGGATGTGGTGCACAGACTCGTTAGCTTGTTGGTTTTAATGGAATTTGTTGACAAGAAAAATCCAGACTCCTTGTGGTGATTTGGATCTTTTTGTGGTCAGTTTGTGTCTCTGTGCCAGGGGTGTCGAATTCTGGTCCTCGAGGGCCGCAATCCTGCATGTTTTAGATGTTTCCTTCTTCCAACACACCTGATTCAAATGATCAGGATCGTTATCAGGCTTCTGCAGAGCTTGATGGTGAGCTGATCATTTGAATCAGGTGTGTTGGAAACATCTAAAACATGCAGGATTGCAGCCCTCGAGGACCAGAGTTCGACACCCCGTGCGAATTTTACATCTCTGTGTGATCATTTTGCATTTCCTTATGTTGGTTTTGCTGCCTATTGTGTTAATTTTATGTGACTTTATGCTGATTTTGTCCCTCTTAGTGTTCATTTTGAATCTCTTCATGTACATTTTGTGTCGCTTTATGTTCACTGATGTGTTTTTGATGGTTTTTGACAATAAGAAAAAAACAGAATATCACCAGCATCAGTCTGATAACTTCAGCTCCACCTAGAAAAACGCTCTGATTGGCTCATTTGCAGTCACTCTACAAAACAACAACCCAACTCTTCGATATCCAGAGATGTGAAACCCACCTTCCTCTCCTCTCCAGCGTTCTCCTCGTACACGATGGCCTGCACTTCGTTTCTGTTCTTCATCAGCATCACTGACAGGTCTTTATGTGGGAACTTCCCCACTGTGAAGGAGAAGTAGTACGCCCCGGGGATGCGGCAGCGGAACAAGCCGGCCTTGGCGTCGAAATCCCCGCCGATGTTGACGTAGACGGTGTCAAAGGTCACCGTCATCTTTGGGCCTCCCTCCATGCTGCTGGTGCGAGCGACCGAGAAGGCCGAGCGTAGCTCCACGTCGTCCTGGAGACGAGCGAAGCCCTCGACGCTTCCCGCATGGTTCAGGCACAGCAGGCCAATCAGGACGCTCGCGGGGAGCAGCATGGTACCTGCAGGAGAGTTAGAAGATGAGAGAAAAGCTTTAGCCACGAGAAAATCCACTCTCAGATCTTTAATCATCGCAGCTGTGACGTGAAGTTCCACTTTGGAGAAGATGCGACACAGATGACCCGGCAAACCGAAACAGGTGACTAATTATGAGAAGGGAGCTGAGAAAACTGACGCCTGTCTTTGTTTGCTGTTCTGGTCGGTTGCAGCTCATCTCCCTCTGCTCCTCTCATGATGCACCTGAGGAGGATTTAATACGTTTCTCTGATTCATGCGACTGAGATCCTACAGCCGCCCGAGGACTGTTTCCAGTAATTCTGTTGCTCATTGATTGTAACTTTTTGCAAAATGTTTTCATTCATTTTCCAGAGTGTAGAATCACCGTCCCATCACATCATTTCGTGCTTCAGCGCTCCTCTCTGGTCATTACAGATCTGCGTGTTTGCAGTCAAACCGCTGCTCGTTTTTCCTGTTGATTGTTAGTTTCCTTAACTGCAGACTAAGACTTGGTCTGCTGGGTTTCATTTGAAATTTGGGCAAAATCCCAGAGGTTCAACGAATCATGGAGCTCCTGAGCCAGACTGAAGCGAGTGTTAATGGTGCTTGTTAGAAAGCCTTTTCAATATCAACAAAGAGCAAAAAGAAAACTATGCAGAATGACACAAAGACAGAAAACGACTACAAAGAGACACAAAACAACAATAAAGAGACATGAAAAGTAAGTAAAAAATGAACACAAAAAGACAAAAAGTAACCACAAAAAGATACAAAATAACCTTAAAAAGATGCAAAAACAGCAAAACAGACACAAAGTGACCATAAAGAGGCACAAAGTCAACATAAAGACGCACAAAATTAACACAAAGAGGAACAAAATAACCAAAAAGAAATGCAAAATGAAGACAAAGAGATGTAAAATGACCACAAAAAGATGTAAAATCACCATAAGGGAGTGCAAAATGACCACAAGTAGATCCAAAATCACCACATAGACATACAAAATCGCCACAAAAACGCACACAATTCACACAAAGATGCACAAAATCTCCACAAAAACAAAACTGACACCAAGAGATGTAAAAAAATAAACAACAGGAGATGCAAAATCACCACATAGAGATGCAAAATGCACAAAGAATCACAAAATGACCATAAAGAGATGCAAAATCACTGAAGAGACACAAAAAATAACACAATATGTAGCAAAATAACCACGAAGAGACGCAAAATGAACTCAAAGAGATGTAAAAATGATCACAAAAGGGTTGCAAGATGAAAAAATATATAAAATTCATACAAAGAGACACAAACTGACCACAAGAAGACGCAAACTCACCACATACACATACAAAATCACCACAAAAACGCACACAATTCACACAAAGATGCACAAAATCTCCACAAAAACAAAACTGACACCAAGAGATGCAAAAAAATAAACAACAGGAGATGCAAAATGCACAAAGAATCACAAAATGACCATAAAGAGATGCAGAATCACTGAAGAGACACAGTTACACCAAGAAAACGACGACAACGAGACACAAAAAGAAGAGAAAGAGACGAGTTTCTGCTCCAGCACCAAAACGTTTGTGTTCTGTCTGTTACTTTGAAAAACATAAATTATTCATGTGTTATCTACGTATTCATTTACTTGGCATGTTTGCCTTTATTCAGCAGTTTGACAGCGGAGACGGTAAACGTGGGGATGGCAGCGAGCAGATTGACAACAACGACTGAAACTGGCAAAATATTGATTTGAAGCAAATTAGGTTTGTCACGGTTCTGGGTTTTTATTCGTTCATTCAGTCAGTCTGGTCATTTTTCCATTTCCTCGCAGTGAATCGGTTCTTTCGGTCGCTCCCAGCTGCCTGATCGTTCCCCTCAGTAGCTTCACCTGCCTGCCGTCTCCACTCACCTGTCCCCACTCAGCCAATCAGCCCTGCAGTATAAACAGCTCACCTCCAGCTCTGCTCTGCTTATTTGCCAGGTTGCCTTTGTGCCTGAGCTTTCTGGCATTCAGATTCTCTCTAGTTCTTGTTTTTTTGAACCTGGTCTCAGTCTGTTCCCAGTTTTTGTTTCCTCGCCTGGTTTTCAAACCCTTGTACCTGACTTTTCTTTTAACCGGTGAAGCTCTTCTGAGTTCTGGTTTTTAATTACCGGAGTTGTTCTCATCATAAGATTAGACATCTGACCACACGCTGAATCCAGCTTTTAATGAGACAAAAACAAAAAAACAACCCGGTAGGCTGCTTTAGGCAGGCAGGTTACTGACTACAAAAAGATGCAAAGGAAACACAAAGAGACACACAATGAAAATGCATAGACACCGAGAGACACAAATTATTATACAGAGGGGAAAAATAGCCACAAACTGAGAAAATAACTACAAAAAGACACACAACAATGATAAAATGATGTCGAATGAGCACAAAGAGGCACAAGAAAAGGGAACAAAAGGAAACAAAAAGATGCTAAATGACCATAAACAGAAACAAAACAATGATAAAAAGGTGCAACATCACCACAGAGATGTGAAATGACCACAAATAGATTGAAAAGTTAGTTTTAAAGATGACTGTTATACATTAGAGATATAAAACAATGATAGAAAGATGGAAAATGACACAAAGGCACAAAATGAACAGAGATTCAAGCTGACCACAAAAAAGGAAACAACGACATAGAGACGCAAAACATGGGGCAAAAAAAAAAGATATAAAATGGCACAAAAAGACCCAAAATGACCACAAATGGATGCAAAATGAACACAGATGTGTTTGTGAAATGTGAGGAGGAAGTTGGTGGCATTGCTGCTGGTCATAGGGAGGAGCTCAGGGTGGATGGATGGGTCGACACTACACCTTAAACGGTGTTTCAAACTGAAAGTTTGTTTTCAATCGTTGTTCATTAAACCTTCAACTAGTAGGTTTTGTGTCCAGAAGTAGATGCAAAATTAATATGCAGACATGTAAAATCACCACAAAGAGACACAAAATGAATGATCCTATGTGATTATAACGGAAGAGAAGGTGATGGGCACAGGGATGAGCTAGGGGTGGATGGATGGGTCAGCATTGTCATTTAACCATGACTGCTTCATTACGTTGAACAAAATCGAGATTGTTCCCTCAACCTTTTCCATTTGATTTTTTTTAGTCTTAGCATAACCAAACAGAGCAGGAAAACATCTGTGCTGTTTTACATTCCTATGACTCATATTCAGTCGGGACATGGGACTTCATATTTTGCAGAGTTTTTGATGTCAGGACCCAGAAAGCATTAAAATTTGTGGCGAAACATCACACATCCCGGCAAGAAAAAGCCTCACCGACGGAAAAAGCTTCACCTCGAGCGCAGATTTGGAGGTAAAACATTAAAACCACGCACACGGACCGACAATATCAAATACAGCCCTCACATAATGGAGCGAGCGTACATTTGCACATCACAAAAACACACAAAGTGGGCTTCAGTAAATGCGCCTGGCAGAAACACAGACACACAGATATAATCCCTGAGCAGTGGGTGAGTCATTCAGACAGATCGCTCTCAGTAGAGGAGGTATTAATGTGGCTTTTATTAGCAGAGACGAGCTCTCATTGTCTCCTAATGAACCAACAGGAAGGAGACACAGGTGGACTGTCAGCGCGCAACAAAAGGACACAGCTGATCGGATGGTTTCGCCGCTGTTTGTCGGCCTTCGTTAGCATGTTGTGTCATTTATTAAAGATGCTGTAAGAGGCGGTGCATGGACACGGAGCTGCTCATTAATAAGAACACATGACAAAGAGTGTGCAGACAGGCTAGTGGGCGGCTCTGCACGGCGATGGATGCTTTGAGCTAAATGCTAACGTGCTAATAAATAGTTTTATTCCAAATGTACTTATAGCCATTAAATTTAAATTTGTGCTGATGTTTTTTTTGACTGGGGCACGTTGAATTATATTGAAGCTGGATTTTAATCAAACATTTGTGTTAGTTTGAGGGAAATAAATCATTTGGACATTTCTTTTAAAATATGTAAAGAAACAAAAACACTGAAATTGAAATATAATCATAAAAATCTCTAGCACTGTCTTTTGTGACTTGTTTATTCCAGCCAGTAGGAATCATTTTGGCAAATTGAAATTCATTATAATCTAAAATTTGGAATAATTTGCTAATAATTATGACTAATTTTGAATTTACCACGTCCACAGGTTCAGCTTAGCACGTTAGCATGCTAACGTTTGCAAATTGTGTGTCATGATAATTGCAAGTTAATCAATCGGATGTTATTTATAGAGCACTTCTCATACAAATGAAATGTAACACAAAAATGAAGTAAAACACAATAGAAACAAGACCCTGAACCCCAACATCAGCTTAGAAATGAACCCAACAACACAGCGACTGAGGAAATGCTAACGAATGATTCATTTATTTTTATAATTTTCTGACTAAAACATAAATTTGAGTTCTGACCAGAGCTTGAAAAGGATGAGCTCAGTTACTACAGCTGGAGATACATAAACATCTGCACCACATGTCAGATACTCCAACAGATTTAGAGCCATTTCATTCAAAACCTAAACAAACAGTGAGAAAATCTCCCAAACCTGCTGGAACATTTCTGCAGAACTCGTTATCGTTTAGTCAGATATCGTCAGAAGCCCTTTCTCTTTCTCTCTCTCTCTGTCCACACACCTTTTTTCAGCATTAAATTAGACTCTATATATGACAGTTTCTGCACTTTCCGCTCACTGAATCTGACAATCAAGCGTTCACACCCACTTTACCGCGCAGAGGTGAGAAAAGAGTCTGAATGTCTCTCTTATTCATTCATTACACAATTACCTGTGACACCTTCTTATGTGAACAATGGAGCGTAATGCAACGAGAGGAGGTGTGCGGTTACCCTCATTTCTAAATGATATCTTGTCTCTAGCTTCTCTCTGAAGGCCGCCGTCGAGCGTGAGCCTTTATCTTTATTAGTGCTGCAGCAGATTTCACAT